AGTCGGCCCCCTCTACCATGAATTTCAACGCTGACAATGTAACTCCCGATAGCGGACCACAACCACTAGCATCGCCCCACCATGGCGCATCCACCAATCATATGGGTCTTGCCCAATTTCGAATGATCACAGACAGAGTGCTTGGAGTTTGTTGTTTAAATATGTTTTGGGCAGCCTATTTTGGCTTCAATTTTTGGCCAAATCGATTGGAGTTATGATCGAAGTTTGGGTGCATTTCGAAGAGGGAAGTGATGACTTTAAGATGGTATGTTAGTCCGGTGCCCAAGGTGGCTGGGGTGGAGTTTTGGTGGTGGAGGAAGAGGGTAGGAAGAGGGAGAGAAGAGAAGAAAGAGATGATTTTTTTTTTAATTTTTATAATTTATTGGACTGATTTATATTTTTTCAAAACGTCCGGGACTATGATTGCAATCTGCACTTTATTTTTTTTTCTTTTTTGGTTTGTTGTTTTAAATAAGAGGGTATAATTATCATTTTACGTTCAAAAATAGGGAAAAGGACGTTTTGCGCAACCAAACGTTGAAATAAGGGTAAAATGTCAAAAAATTGAAAGGTAGGGACATTTTCCACAATCAACATGAAAGGTAGGGACGTTTTGTGCCAATTACATTTTATTTTCTACCTATTTATAAATAGAATCGTTTAAAAACTCTTACTGAATATGGATTTGGGCCAGTTATTAGAACAGACATTTTGTCTGGGTAAATAATTGGGTTGGGCTTACCAGTCTATTTAAAGTGGTGCAATTGAATTGATGAGTAGGCCTGGGCATGGTTTGGTTTGGGTCGGTTTCTACCTCAACCCGAAACCAAAACCAAATTAGTCAATTTGAAAAAATTTCAATTCAAATCAACTCACTCTATCTTTTAAACCAAACCAAACAAATCCAAATTGAATCAATTCGGTTTGATTTGGTTTGGTTTGTCGGTTTAGACTTTCAAATATTATCGCATAATAAAAAATAAAAAGTCATGCAAAAAATAATATATGCCATTCAAGTTAACCACTCACACTGACATAGTCAATAACCAACACATAACCATAACCAAACCGAATATTCATCAAGCTTTTTTTCCATCCCATTATAATCCAAAGCCAAGAGTTTATGTTACAAAAAAGAAACTCAAGCACAAAAAATAAATTTTGTTAACATCTAATGTATAGTCTCGAGGAAAATAAAATGTCCAGGAAAGTGAAATCGAAGTTCCAAAAGTTGTCTACCAAGCCCAGCCATCATTTTGAATTACCTTTACCTACAAAACGTGGTAACTTAAATTATATTTCATTGTAAAGATATGATCAAATGCGATGCAAAACAATAAAATTACCTTACACAAACACATAAATGACTTATTTATCTTTGATGTTCGAATCTTCATCCATTTTCGTTACTTCCGAAAGATCTAAAAAATAAAATGATTCAATTAGTAGTAAATGAATTTGAAACACATGTAATTAACACACTAAATGAAATAGTTAATTAGTAATTACCTTCATCCAATTTATTATAATACTCTACATCCTCCATATAAAATTTGTTTTCGCTTGGAGTAGATTTGAGCCAATTTTGAGTGCAAACTAAAATCTCGACCATCTTGGCAGTTAAAGAACTACAAAATGGGTCTAGAATTTTTCCCCCCATACTGAAAGCACTTTCTGAAGCCACCGTAGACGCTTGATTGCCAACACATCTTTTGCAAGTTTGGACAATGTTTTATACTTACTTCTATGTACCTTCCACCAATCAAGGACATCAAACTCCTTCTTCTCTATATCTTCACAAGCATCCAATAAATATCTTTCCAAGTTATTTTTCATCTTAACTGAATCTTTTGCTACTTGTTGTTCCTTAAACTTGGAAATACGAGTAGAAGATGCACTACATGTGGAACTGACTTGACTTGTAGAAGATAACCCACTTGCAGATGTCCATTGATACTTGACTGCTTTGTGGACTTCCCTCATACATCACATACCAGTCATAAATAGAAAACAAATTTTCCCTCAATGTTTGGGTCATTGTACTAGCCAATTTTTTATCATTATAAATATCACAAAAACAATACTGAACATAATCCAATTTATATATGGGATCAAGCATGGTAGTAATCAACAACATTTGACATTGTCCATATTTCCCTAATACTTATCAAAATTTCTCTTCATATTAGTAGTCATTTCACCTAAAAGATAATTTTCACTTAAACTACAATATGCTAAATCTGCTACAAGTGAACGTACTTCATGAAGATAAATTGTGGAGCTAATATGTAATGAAGTACTGAACTTTAAAGTGATTTCATAAAACCCTTTAAGAAATTTGACAAAAATAGATGTATTTTTTCCAATCACTTACTAAAGGGGGTTCACCGCTTCTTCTACTATCATCATCCTCTCGAAAATAATTTAAGTAATGTCCATCCTCCTCTTCTAAGTGCTTGAAAGGATTTTGATATTTCAAAGCAGCCTCCAACATTAAATAGGTAGAATTCCACCTTGTAGGCATATCTAGAAACACAAGTGATTTTGATTCGATCTTTTCTTTAGTTGCACACTCTTTCAATTTTTCGTATCTAGCAGGCGACGATTTTACATACTTCACTGCATTACGAATACTAACTATTGAATCATGTGCTTCATTCAACCCCTCACACACTATCAAGTTAATGATATGTGCACAACATCTCATGTGCAAATATTTTCCATCCAAAACACACCCATCATTATCCCCAACCAATCATCTTCCTTATAAGATATGAAATAACCGTTTCATTTGACTAGCGTTGTCCACCGTGATTGTAAACACCTTGTCAAGGCCCCACTCATGCCAGCAACTTTCTATAACCTTGCCGATGGTTTCACCCTTGTGATTAGGTATCACACAAAAATTCAAAATTCTTTTCTTAATCATCCAATTAGAGTCAACATAATGGACTGTAAGATATATATAATTTATATTTTGAATGGATGTCCAAGTATTTGTAGTAAGTGAAACTCTTTGACGTTGAGTAGTAAGGTTCTTTCTCAACTCTAAATTCTCACTCAAATATAGTTGGTAAATATCCCTCACACTAGTCCTACGCGATGGAGGATCAAATTTAGGACAAGCTACACTACAAAAGTGTCTAAATCCCATCCCTTCAACAAAACTAAAAGGTAGTTTATCGATAACCACCATTCTCGTACATGCTAATCTACACGCTTCCTTACTAAACCCATTAGCCACAAGATTGGTCCCACCACCATCAACTTCCCTACCAGGATACTTTTTATAATGTTTATCTAAATGACATCATAAAGTACTAGTCCCATATTTCTTAGCCCCACAAGCATAAGATTGCCCACAATATTTACACTCACACCTAACATCTTCATCTTTTGGATATCCCATTATTGTGAAATGATCCCATACATCTGAAGTTTTCCTGTTATGCTCTCTTCCCTAAACATGATAGTGGAAGTAGAGGAAGATTTGTAATATTTCACCTGGAATTGATGTTGGTGGGGTTTCACCAATGTATTCACACTCATTGTCAATATCCATATTGAAACACCTTGCAGCTACGGGGTCGGACTGTCGGAGTCTCGATGAGTTGAAGTTGATTTCAGGCTTTAGAAGTAATATAGGAGCTAGGAAAAAGTGCTCAAATTTGGATTGTAATGGGAGTTGGAGACGACGACGAGAGATTGGAGAAACCGACTATAATGAGATTAGATTAGGACAATCAAGTGACGGAGGTGATTTGGGAATGAAATCTGTGATTTGGGAAGGGGGGAACCTTAGTGGATTGGGCTGGTTTGGTTCCCCGCTGGTTTGAACCTTCAAACCGTGAACCAACCCAACCCAATTCGGTTTTGCTTAATAAAAACCAAACCAACCCAAAAGATTGAATCAAACCAATCCGAACCGGTTCGATTTGATTGGTTTAGGTGGTTTACCGATTTTTTTTACCCAGCCCTATTGATGAGAGTACTTTTAGCGTGTAGGTGTATTTGTTAGATTTGTTGGATGGGTGGGCCCTTCCATTGTAAGTCTTGAAGAATGACTTTCAGCCCATGGGCCTTTTGTTGTTATGCTTCCTATAAAGGTATGGCTCATAAAGGGAGTATCTGATAAAGGGGCACCCACTCATATGCTTTTGTGTAAAGAAGAAATAAGAGGGAGAACATAAGAAAAATAATTTTAAAGGGTCTTGAACGGGTTTCGATCTTTAAATGGATTTGTTATAGCTACTCAATCTCAAACCTTTTGATGTGTTTCTTTCGGTTGCTTTCTAGCTTTGAACAATCAAAACTACAAAGACACTAGAATAATATTTAGATACGCATTTGTCCAAAAATGCAACCTTCTTTAATTTACATAAAAAAAGCATGCTTTTACATGCACAAATTTGAAAATATCCTCATTTCAACGATTAATCTTAAAAGGTTTTGTATTCAAGTTATATTTAATTCTATGTTATTTTTAACTTCATACTATCTATTTTGAAAGAGTTTGTATCTATTTTATCCATCACGAATTTTTATTGCGTTTCCACTATTTAAACTCAACACCTCTATTTTATAAGAGATCTAATTGAATCCCGTCTATTTTTTTCCTAATCCATTTCCTACTTCTCTACATCTACATCCACATCTTCATCTCATTTTCTACCTTTGCGTGAGCAAACTCCCCACCCCTCATCCTTTCACAATTCCGTTCGTGCACCAACACCAAATCATCTCTCAATGTAGATCTTCTTCGTCTGGGTTTTTCTCCTCCCTTAATGTGTTTGTTTAGTATTGATGTGATACAAAATGAAGTTCACTACTTCGAAATCAATTTTAACTCAACTGAGATCGATTTAAGTATGATGAATTTAGTAATCTTACAAGAAAGAAATCATAATGATGTTAGACATTACACACACACAGACACACTCTTTAATATATAAAATAAATCAAAATATTAATATATAAGGCTATTTTAAAAGAAACCTTGAAAAGAGCACTATAAAATGAGCACAAGAACTTCCAACCGATAAATCCGTTTTCACTTTCGTCAAGGTTCCATCTTTCAAATTCCTGATTGAAAACAGGCTACCCAGAAGAACACCAAAAGAAACAGTATGATCAGTCTCGCGGGTAAACTATCCAGAGCCACGAGAAATGTCCTAGGCCCCTCCTTTTCCCTTCTTAAACCGTCACTGCTGCCACCAATAAAATTAGCGGCGCCACCTCCGATCTATTTTTATGCAAACAATTCCACTTTTACAGCCAACCCGGTTGCCCTTGAAATGATAAACTACGCTATGTCTCTTGCCCGTGGACAGAAAACAGGTGCGCTTACATGAAGTCATTTTCTTGAAATTTGGGTTTTTATTTTTACCTAAATAAATTTATTTGATAGCCTTTATAATGGATGCTTTTTGAAAATGGGATTGCAGAAGACTCGTATGGGAGAGGACTACTAGTATTGGATCAGTGCGAGTCGACTCAACCCGATGACAATTCTAAGGGTTTGGTTGAACTAGCCCGTTCAACCTTATTGTTAGAAAGGTTTTATTTTTGAATTTTTGAAATGTTGTTAAATTGATTTTATTTCTTAGAGACATTTGAAAATCCTGGAGATGTAGCCGGGTTTATTTTTTTCAATTTGTTATTATTTATGGAGGTTTCAGAGGGTCCTATGAGGCGGCCATTGAGAGACTTGAGAGAATTCAAGACTTAAGCTTGCCTTCTGTTGCTATTAAAGGTAATAAAGAACTATTGTTTTAATTTCTTCTTTAGGAAAAGGGAAACAAAGGAGGGAATTTACAAGTATATAGTGCAATTCCTATTGATAGAAAACTGTGATGTTTAAGCAGAATTTACTTGTAATTCTTGTAGTTGCTGCTTCAGAAGCTTTAGTGGGACTTTATCTAGAACAATATCGAGTAAGCCATAGAATGCCCCAGTATATAGAATTGAGCTCCTTTACATTGTTTTATGGGAATTTAAATTTATTCTGAAGTTGTTCCTCTCTATTTAGGAGGATGCTGCATCAGTAGTTGCAGATATAGCCTTGCAGATTTTGGAAACAATCAGACTAGAGATTGGTAATGTGAGTGGCTTCGAGGTTCTAGAGGCTCGTGTTAAAGCATTAAAAGGCCTAGTTGAGCTGATGTGCGGTAATCTCGACTCAGGTGACCATCAAGGATGGAGCACAATTTTTGGATGTCTTCTTGTATTTTTTGTTACTTATGATCTTTCAAATCAATTGTTCCTCCGCAGCGCAGTCATTTTTTGAGGGAGCTCAGGCCGATCGATTTTGCATTGGTAAGGTTTTGTCTTACCAGAGACATTGTAGTATCATTATCCCCCCAACTGGAGAAGTCATTTTTGGAGGAGAAACTATACATTTTGGGATCTGTGCTATTGATATTTTGATGTGCAGGCAATGCTGCTCTTTCTTATGGTGAATTCCTTCATGGCATGCGGAAGTTTTCAGATGCAAAAGAGTTGTATCAGAAGGTAATTCGGGGATTGTCTGAGATTAAAGATGTTGGTGATCCAAACAACCTAGGAGCTTGTAACATGACCTCAGAGGAAGTTGTGGTAGCGGCTACTTGTTCTTTAGGACAGCTTGAAACCCATATGGGGTAATACTAGTTTACTTCTATAACTTGTCATTTATATTGTTTATCCTATTATGTCCTCATAAGTTGAATATGAGTTTCCCCTCTATAGGAATTTTACTGATGCAGAGGAGATGCTGACTGCAACACTGAAGAAAACAGAAGATCGCTTTGGTATGTGTTCTTGATATTCTGCATGGAATTGATAGGTGTATGAAAGATATGATATTTACTGGGCTTTATTGTATGATGTAGGTGCTCAACACCCCAAGGTTGGTGTTATTTTGACGTGCATAGCTCTCATGTATCGACATAAAGCAGCAATGGAGCACTCAAGTTCTCTTCTAATACAGGAGGTTAGAAATTTCATGTCAAGGTTCCAGTGAATGAATACACGGAAAAGTGGATATTAGCTTGTATTATAACTTTTAAGTGCAATTGAATGAGCAAAAATCTTGCACGCTTGTTCAATGTCGGATTTATTCCAGTTTTAAGGGTCTGAATAAAGGATTATTGATATAAGCATTGTTTTTGTTGGACAAAGTTAACACTTCTTTACATTTTCTGTTTGACTTGCCATTTTTATTGTTTTTGGCTTGCTATACATTGATTAATTTGATACAGTAAGAATCACCTTCTTGTTTTGTTCATTTAATTTAACATCATTCAATGTTATGATGATACCTGATTTGCAAATGTCTGGTTTTTGTTTTCAGGGTCTTTATAGAAGGGCAATTGAACTACTTAAAGCTCCACCTTTGGAGATTGATGGTATTTATCCATTATTCTCATTTTCCAGTTGCCCTGTATATAATTCTAAAAAGATGTTAATCTTTCTAATTCCATAGGTTCCAGTGAAAAGGTGGACAGGAAAGACATAATTGCCCTTGCGAGAGGTATTCCTTACCCTCCTTTTTTTTTTTTTTTTTCCTTTTTACTTTCAAATTAAAAATGTGGCTTATATGCTGATGACCCCTGCTCAAAGTTAAAGTCGCACCACAAATATGCAAGAGATTCCTAATTTATGCAGAGCTTTAGCACGAATGACAGATGATTATGGTAATCATATATATTAATAGTAACACAATCTCCTCATTGGAAGAGACGAAAGCTAGCATACTTCTTGTTTCTGCTGCAGTCTGTGGTGGGGATCGGTACAAAATATGAGTTGGAAAATTTTGGTCACTGTAACAATTTTAAGCTACCAAGTCACATAAACTGTCATAAAATTGGAGATTTGTGGGCTTTTTGTATTTTTCTTTTCTTTTGAAGTTTATCTTTGTGGTCAATAGAGTAAGGTGCTTTATTGCGTCCTTGACAAGAAAATTTGTACATTGATTTGTTCTATACATCAAACTGTTTCTTTAAGTTTTTAATCTACAGTTCAAATTATCTTATAATTTCTTGGGCAAAACTTTGATAGGTGGTATTTATCATCGGTATTGTGTTCAACAAGTATCATGTTCACCAAGAATTTCTGATTTGTGATGTTTCCCATGTGATTAATTTGTTGCCAGTTTTATCGAATGTACAAAAGTTCACACTGACAACTTGTTCTGCATTGATCTTCTAAACTATTTGTTTGTGAAGGTGGTTATGCAGAAACACTTCTTGTGCAACAGTCTAGAAAAGCAGAAGGGGAGAAACTGAAACATTGGGCGGAAAATGCATGGAGAAACCGATGGATGTCACTGGCAGATGCATTGGAGTTATCCGAGTCTTCTCCCAAGGTGCCAGTGATAGATGCTCGAATATGCAGGGTCGTGTAGTTTCCTGCAAGTTTTTCAACGCCAGTAAAATGTTTGAGTTGGAGCATTGCGAGGATTGTCATGGCTTTACATCTCTTTATTCCTAATGTGTTATTGCAACATGAAAGTTTGTATGATGCATATCATGATGTTATAACGTTAGTACTAACAATTTATAATGCAGCTCTTATTTCAGTTCCGTGCTTGTTAGTGGATGCATAGAGCTCATTCGTCTAAAAACTTAAGGGCATGTTTGGTATGCCTGTGCTCTATTAGGTGCATTGTATTAGATTGTATAAGGAATAAGGATTAATTTAATTCTATTTTGTGTTTGGTACAAATAATACTGAGATCAAAGAGTAATGCTATTTGCAGTCGCTCACTGTCGCAGTCGTCTTATGTGGTATACATGTGACGGTTAGTGATTTGATACATTAATGTGGTAGTTTTTTATTACCTTGTGTAACAAATAATTAGCCGCCACATGTATGTCACATATGGTAATTGCAATAGTGAGCAATTGAAAATAGCATTATTCGAGATCAAATTAATCGAGGAGCTTATCCACCTTTAATCAATGTGGTGAAAATAATACTTCTTTAATGAGTTGGGCTTTTGGCTGGATTATTAATTCACGAATACTTACAAGCCCAGTCATCGTACCAGCATCCAATCCTCCAATTCCCTAAGCCTCGAGGATAAGTAAATTTATACATGTAAATAAGTAAGCATTAAAATGAATAATTTCTTACTAATTTAAGTTACGAATAAGTAAGTTTCTCATTTATTGATCCCAAAGTCGCTTTCCCTTGCTAGAGCCCTTGTTCAAATATAAAAAACACTAAGGGTGTGTTTGACTACGAATATAAAATTTACCTAGGAAAAAATTAAATTTTAGGCAATTGTATTACCTAGAAATTACTTGTATGAAAATTGTCGATTAAATGTATTTAAGTGATTTTATTTTCAATCTAGAAAATGTAATATTTGTTTATTTTTTATTGGTGAGTACATGAAAGAGGATAGACGAGAAAGAGAAAGAGAGTGAATTGCCCGAAAAGTAAAAATCTACTCCCCTGAAGAAAATAATTTCTATTTTTCTTAAAAATATGATTATATGACCAAAAGTAGGAAAATATTTTTCATGAAAAAATATTAATTAAACAGGACAAAAGTAAGATTTTTTGTGAAAATTGACATTTTTCATGAAAAATATTGATAATCAAACACACTCCAATAGATCTATATGAAATCATGCCTGAATATAAATTTTAACAATTTTCACGTGTTACGGTATTAATTTATCATTCACTTAAAATTGGTTCAAGAAATTATTTGGCCTTCAATTTTCCGTAATCAACTTAGGGTCTGGCTTAACCAATTGATTAAAACCGATATTTTGAACCAATTTCCAACAATTTGGTGACTCAAACAATACATAAACTTTCATTTAAAACTTCAGTTATTGGAGAGGAGAGTCTTATGTTATATTGGTATGTCATTATATCGACAATTGTAGTCGTCATAGCAAATTCTACATTAAAATGAACATAACCTTATTACAACAACACAATTAACATTCACTCCAGAGTGCAGATTCTTGTTCTTCTCTCTTCCTCTTGTTACTTGATCTGAAACTGAAGTTCATCCATGGCTTCTTAAAGAGAAAGAGATCAAGCTGACAGTCATAGATTTTGTCCCACTCCACCTCCAATACTGTTACTGGACTTTCAGGGCTACTGTAATTAGCATTCTGGAACTCTAATATATTGCTGTAATCTATCAATAATTCTTTTTCCATCCAGCTTTGGCATTTGTTCACTTCTTCCTAGATCAAGAACACTAACAGCATCATGCATAATGCATAATAAAATTAGCAGAAGTTCAGAGGGAATAATTAATTTTACCCTTTGATCTTGGGAAATAAATGTGTAGAAATGATCAAGGGATATATCATCTTCAAGTATGCATCTTACTGCAGAAATGGCAATAACAAAAGGCCCGAACTCCAGGAATTTAGAATCTGAACCATTTTATACTCAGACAGATTCAGTCACAAAGGAAATTAAGGGTAAAAGCCCTCAAGTATAAACTGGCGCGAGCTAGTTTTGCATACCTAAAAGGGTATTAAGAAGCAGTTGAGTGACGCGTACGGTTAGATTATCAACAAGGGTTTGGTTTAAGGTATCGATGGTGCGGAATAGCAATTCAATGTAAGAATATGGAGTTGGAGAGTCCATTTTCCATCCTAAAGCCTTCAAGAGAGTCAATTCCATCCGTTGAATCTGCCTTGATGAGAAGTAATGATCTAAACCCTCTACCTGTAGAAATAATGCGACAGATCTGCTTAGTACATGCTATCATATTAGTTAATAGTTTTAACGTATGCTTGCTCTCTAGGATTATCGATCTAGTTCATCCGTTGAGTTTTAAAGTACTTATCATATAACATGTTGTTAACAAGGGCACCGTTGATGTGAAAAAAGAATTTGAATTCAAAATCATTGGTTACTTGTTATACTTTTCTAAGAACAAAAATGAAGTGAAAAGTATTAGGATTCATTTGATATGGTTTATGCTTTTGCTTCTTGTAGATGAGTTTTTTGAGGAAATTACTTTAAAATCTCTTGCAATCAGACAAAACACTTCAAAAAAATTGCCGAAGTTCAAAAACATCTTTGTTGTTTCAAAAATATTTTTTGACTTTTCAAAAGTTATGTCAAATGAACTTTTGTAAAAGAAATTCACATGCATTTTAACTGTGGAAATAAAACTTGGATGTCATGAAATTAGGAGAGAAACTTCGGTGGAACGGTTGCACTAGTGTGCCACCTTGGCTGGTGGCTCACCACACACTCCCAAGGTGTGTGGGCCACCCGCCGAGATGGCGTCGGGCGGGCGCACCATCCACACCAAAGATATAGTCTGAAATTAGAAGGATTTTATAAGTTATGGGATTACAATAAAGAACTTTCAGATGGTGCGCCCGCCTATCAAAGATTTAGTCTGAAATTAGAAGGTTTTATAAGTTATGGGGATTACAATAGAGAACTTTCCTGAAATTCATGCAATGACGCGGTGATTGATTCATTGAATTTAGAGGCAACTGATAAACATGCGATAGAAAGCAGTTCAAACATCCGATATTTCCATCCCTGCAGAAAATTTGTCCAAGGAAACAGTTATTTTTATTTCAAATCTAAAAGTTAAAAATGAAAAAAATGGGAGAAGCATCGATCCCTTACTTGGCACTGAGATATCGAAATAAATCGATCCAGGTAACTCACAGCACCAAAAACAGTTCCAAAAGAGAGATCCATCCGCTTTTGAGCCTCCAATAATTTAACATGCACGTAAAAATATACAAGTACATTCAAGAACGTTTAATATAAAATCAAGGGTTTGGTGCTGTGAGAAAAGAAAATATTTACCTTAATAAGCCAGCAAATAGCCTTAAACCTAGCATGATCAATCAAATGATCAGACTTAATCTGCTTCACATATCCCATTTTCGGCATGTAACTGGGTTCCTTCTCCAGAAAAATCCCTATAGCTTTCTCACAATCTTCCCTGGTGCTATAATCGCTCTTTCTTACATTATAGTACTGATCATTGGCACGTACCCTGTCACGAACAGTGGGTACAGGACTCATAAACCACACCTCATTGCACAGAAGACTTTCCATCTTGTTTTTCCTATTGCAGTTAAAAGAGGGTAGAGATTAAATAGCTGATGGGGGGTGGTCAAGAGCAGGCGAGTGGAGTGGTGAAGAAGTTGGATCATGAGATATAAAAACGAGGACACGTCCCTCATGACAAGGGGTAAATGCTGATGAATTCAGATTTTTTTTTGAGGTTTTTTTTGTGTGCAGTAACCAGTTTCGTGATTACACGAGGATAGCCTGTTCTTGTTCAATTTAATATAGCCAACGAGGATATGTTATTATCTTGCTTCAAGTATTTAGACATTTAGTGCTAACTAACCACACATGCCACCCTTGAAATTTCCATATTTTCCAGCCTTGCAAATTTCATTTTATTTTCTCGTACGATGCATTAGCGTGGGGTACTTTTTAAATTGACTTGGTCAAACAACCAATTTTTCAGTTTGACCATTTTTTTTTTTTTATTCACCACATTGGACTCTTGTCACTAAAAAGACAATTCTACCCTTATTCATGTTTGATAATTACAAAAATATATCAATTCTTTAAAAGACAATAATACCCTTAATAGTTTAAATAAA